GTTTAACATCCATTCGTCTTCTCTTTCGTATATAGAAGATAAATTATCTCATTAGGCAATCTACTTCGTACAACGCTAGATTAGTTTTATTACAAGTTGTATGGAGATTAACATCACTTTTGGATACTCTATTAATATATATATATATTATATATATATATATATATATATATACATAAAACAAATTTGTTTTATATTATTTGTTTTATATATAAAAATATTATTTTATATGAATATTACATATTTAAATTTGAAATTTGTATCAAAATTTGTACCAAACATATAATTTCCAGCTGTCTTGTCATTTTTTGTTTTCGAGAAGATTCGATTAAAAATACAATTGCATTTTTGTTTTGAAGTCTTCTAGATGATACGGGACTTATTTTCCATGCAAGTCTTTCTCATATATAAATTATATCTAAAGACTGTATCTCACCTTACGGATTTATGTGTAAATTTTGTATCCAATAATTAAAGAGTATATTATAATAACAAATACTAAAATTGACAAATTTTTGAATCATTAATTGAATTTATGTAGATGAGCCTGAATGCGAATTGACCATCCAATCATTAATATTTTCAAAATCTGTGTAATTGTAAAATGACCTGGTAATTCGGATATGTTATTTCGCAACGTGTTTCTTATGATAACAAATATTGATTCTTTTTCTCACAAAACTTTGAGTTATAAAAGATTTTATTATTCCGGCACATGTGTTTGATACTGCGATTCATGAGATTTATTTACTGAGCTATTCAGTAGACCATTTGTACTACAACGTTACAATTTGACTATATCAGTCCTTAATGGAAACAAATACTAAAATCATAGAGATCACTAATAAAATTTTGCGTAATAATAATCACACTCACGTGTTTGTTTAAGCAATGTATATATGTATAAATATCATTATTATTTATTATATTTAATATTTTTTAATAAATTTGCAGTGAGTGTCATGATAAAATATCTGTGGACAAGAATTTATAGTTTAACTTAAAATAGTATTGCTGGTATGACATGAAACAAATCGGTTCTTGGAAACGATGTGGAGAATTTCCAATATAACGTCGAGCATTCCTCCGCAGTTTCGGAAGTTTAAACAAAACCACAGAAAAATGGGACGAAAAGAATTAAAAAATAAAAATAGTAATAATTGTAATAGTTTATATATAGTTTTTATATAATATGTGCATACGAAGATCAGTCAAATCTTTTATTTGTGTCTTGAATGATTTTTTTGTGAAATCATTTACAAATTTTCAAAAAAAATCCTATTATTTCCTATCAAAACAAACCTTATAAAATCTGAAAAACGTGGCTTTTTTACAGAAAACATGCAACGTGCAATAATTAGAATTTAGTGAAATTAAACACGATCATAAAACCTTTGTTATGCATAGATATATATACATATATATATTATTAACATTCAGAATCATTACAAATAATACAAAATACACACATATATGTATATATATATATATATATATATATATATTACATATATTATTTAGTGCCCTTTAAAAATCCTACGTGTCGTATCACATGTTAAAACAAGTCATATATCCATATCAGGACTTTTAAAAATACATCCTTTTCTCCTCGGCTCATAATATATTCATTGCCGAGAAAAAAGACATTCGCCCTCTTCTTCCATACGCATGGAATGCTCTCACTTTCTCGGAAAATCTTCAAATAACCCTTAACACTTGTATCGCCCGAGAATATAAAAGAATAAAAGCTGATACATTTTTAACAAGAGAGCTTTAAGCTCCTCGACGGTGGAGAGAGCGGTGAAGCTTTTGTCTACGAGTATGTGTATGTGTTAAGCTACTATGACAGCAGATGTTTATGGGGAAAAAATCTCTTTACGGTTCTGTACAGAGAGTGAGTGCTTTTTTATAATAATATCTTTGGATTTATATATAGTGTTGAGCTTTTTGGATAAAACTTACTATAGTTCCAATTTAATTTTGATACGTATTGAATTTGTTGTTATTGTGGGTACTTTGAGGAATAATGTGTCCAAAGTACTAAATGGTATTGCTCATTCTAAAGTCACTTCACCTAAATGCCCACACTTTATATAAAGTCCAATTTGATGAAATTGTTTCATATTCAAATTGTTTAAAAATATTATCAATTTTAGTATTTGCTATATTACTCTGTAGAATAACATATTCAAATTCCAAGGTGGCAGCACGAAAGATGCGTCCTGAGCAACTCGTTAAACTCACAACTTTCTGAAATATGTGTCTTGAACGATTATTCCCCAATTATTCCACATGTGTTACTCAAACTAACTAACTTCTTCATCTCGAATATAATAAACTGCTTCACCTTCGTCCCCCACTTGCCCCCCATGTGAAAATTCAAATCAAACTCTGTCAGTTGCGAAACTTTCAAATTATTTTATGCTTATTAAGGTGGCGACGTGTTTTGTACTTTGACAGATCCGATGTTAATTCAGGGGCGGCCTCGGGGGTTAATTCGGGGGCTCCTGTGGAGACAAAGTTTAAACGAGAAATTAGCATGATACATCTGAATGCGCTATAAAGCATATAAAGCATAAGGTTCATGCTTGATGGAAGGAAACTTTGGAAATTATTCGCGAGAAATCATGTTGGCAACGTACATACGCTGGAGCCATGTCTGGTTGGGGATGTTTGGAGATAAATCTTAAATGTATCATCTTAAATACCTTATATAACATTTTCTATTTCATTACTATTCATACATTCATAATGAAATATATTTATATTTAGTTCGATTTATCAATATCTTTTGAGTTCTTATAAATTTTATGCCTGGGTTGTTATAAATTTTAGATAGCTAATTTTTGTAATATTGGGCTAGGTATCAATCGGTTTATTATAAATTGTAGTTTAGAATAATTATATTTTTTAATATGGCTTGTTTTAAATTTTGTGACTCACTTGGTTTTTGATTAGTTATAACTTTCATATTTATCTAATTATAAATTTTTTATTTGGACAATTACAAATTTTAATCTTTGGATAGTCGTAAATTTCATCCATTTTACTTGTTGCAAAGTTAAATAATTGGCCAGTTTCTAATTTCATGTTCCTTAACAAAAAGTATCCTGTTTAGCTAGTTATAATTATACAATCATTAAGTATAAATTTTAGATTTGGACAATTATAATTTTATTAATTCGCTAGATGTTAAATTAGTATATCCATATCTGGGTAATGACAAGGCAGACCAATTTAAATTATACATCAAAATAATTCAAATTATCCATCAGTAACATTTTCCTCTGCCGTCATCCAATTGGCAACTCCACCATCTCGATCTACTCCATTTCTAACAAAATCGCTGACTACAACCAGTTTCTGTACTAGTTTGTACCACTTTCTGCAATAGTGGATGGTTATCGTCTTCAGAATCGAGGGGGGCCCCTGGAGCTTCGTGTCGGCAAAATGTTTTGGGAGGAGGCTGCTGGAGGAGTTGAAAGATAAAGATCTGTGCAAAAGTTGCAAATGGAGATTGCCGTTGTTAGATAAAAGCTGCGTTTTCAACTATGTGTATTTATAGATTGCACACAGGTAGAGCAGCCGGTAGATAATAGTTGAGGTGAAGGATAGGGGTGGTGTTATATTTTTGGGTATATATATATATATATATACATATATATACTAAATTTAATAGCTAGTCAATTTTGAAATTCATACTTATTCTTAAAAACAGTTATCTAAAAGACTTTGCCAGATATAAAATTTTAGACTAATTCGTGTTATCGTAAAGGAAATAAAAAACACGGAATTTAAAATGAAATGAATTTTTCTACCAATATTTTGG